TGCGGTCGCATGGGAAACCCATATGGATGAATAGGGAATCCTTCGGAAGCCATGAGAATGTCATATGCTTCATTCTGACAGCCATCGGACTCAGCAGGAAAAGGCACCGGATGTATTAGGAAGCCAATTGGAATCCAAAGGACAACGATTGGAGTCCTTAAGCAACCCATGGGGTACCGAAGGAGACCCATCAGAATCCGATGGACACCCATGTGGTTCCAGATGATCCCTGAAACCAAAAACAACGGATCCCTTAAGATATCCACCGGGATCCTTTGGGAACCCATGGGGCTCCAATAGGAAATCCATTGGACCCCTTCGGCACCCCATTTGATTCCAAAGTAAAGCAATAACAAGTGTTATGAAATCCATGGGATGCCTTGGGACATCCATCGGGCTCTTCAAGAACTCCATAGACTCCATCGGAATCCGGTGGCAATCCACAAGCTTCCTTATGAAACCCATGGGAATTCCATCGGCAATCTAAAGAAGCATCAGGCTGAAATCCATCGGATGACACAGTGTAAGCCCAAGAGCCATCAACGATGTTGGAATACACCCTCCCTCCAAAGTCCCTCTTCACAGGCCCCTTATAACGGTTCATATCCATCGAAGTATCTGCCTCGTTGGAAAACAACCGTTGGAAGACCCGGAAGCAAAACATTTTTTCAGGATTTCGACGCCACGGATCAACCTGACTGTTGCGGCCCGACGGTCCGCGATCGTGCCAGAACGCCATTGTTGGGATTTCAATGCCGCCAACCAACGTAACTGTTGCACCGGAACAATCCCGAATCCTTCCAACACACAGGTTCTGGTACGTTGATCGTGGGATTCCTTGGAACTCTTGTCAAATCTATGAAGGAATGCGCGCGGCGCTCGGGCGGAAGCCACATTTTGAAAACGGGGGATCATCAATCCGCGAAGCTCTTGCACATTTGGAAAGCGAGTTAGCGCGGAGCTAAGGCGAGAGCCACATTTTGAAAACGGGTTATCCTCAATCCGTGAAGCTTTTGCACGTTTAGAACGAGTGCGCGCGGCGCGAACGTGAGAGCCACATTTTGAAAACGACCCGCCCTCTATCTGCGAAGTCGTTGCCAATTCTGAAATTTCAGAATCACAAATGGTGGGGAAGTTTCCGGCGAAACGCCTGGCCCGCTCCTAGAAACTAGCCTCGGGGTGCGACAGAGACATGTTATGTATAAGGAACAAAGACTGGAGGAGGAGGAGGTGGAGGAGGAGGAAAAGGAATGCCCGGACCAGTGTTCAAATCAAGAAACTGTCGGGACCATAAGGTTTTTATGTTGAACAACTAAAAAACATGAAGCTCCCAAGCAAAACATTCATTGTATTCGTGTACAATAAGTAGAATTTAAATCCTTTGGGGATCCGTGGGTTTCCTCCGGAAATCCATGGACATCTGATGGACACCCATACGATCCCTTGAGAAATCCATAGGATCCCGCAGGGCATCTATAGGGATCCTTTCGGGAATCCATCGGATTCCTTGGGAAATCTATTGGAATCCGATGGACATCAACCTAAGGAAATCCACCGGATTCCTTGGGAAACCCATCGGGCTCCTTAGGGAATCCTTCATGTTCTTCGGGGGCATTTATCGGGTTCTTTGGGAAACCGCAAAGGGATTCCTTCGGGGGTCGTTCGGACTCCTAAGGGGGTGCATCGGATTTCTTGAAAAATGTTTTGGGCTCCTTAGAAAATACGTGGGATGCCTTAGGAAAACGAAAGGACCCTAGACGAAAACCATCGGATCAGTTAGGAAATCCATGGGATTCCTTAGGACATCCATCTGATTCCGTCGGAAATCAATGGGGCTCTGTGGGAAATCCAAGGGACCCCCTGGGAAAGTCATAAGATTCCTTAGGATATCCATCGGATTCCTGTAAGCAACCCATCAAAGTTTCAAGGAAATCCACTTGTCTCTAGCTAGGACATCCATCGGATCCCTTTGGACAATAATGGGAATCCTTGGGACTCCGCGCTGCTCAACATAAGAAGAAAGCACCTTCGATTCGCAACTGTCCCCCGCGATAATCAAGTTCGGCCTTGCCGCCTCTCTTCCCTGACAAAATCTGCATTGGCCGGGGACAAGGATGGCTCAAGGGCTAAGGGGAAGGGGCCATTGACCATCCGGAATTTGCGTTGCCTTTTCCTCCTCTGAGGTGCGCCCTCACCCGGCCCGCTTGCCTTTAGGTCGGGCATGTCCCCCTACAGGCGGATCTTGGACGAACAGGAGAAAATGTCAAACAAATCCACAAAAAAACAAGCAAATCAAAAACATCGTGCCCCGACTAGTTTGTTTTTGTTTAAACTATGTTTGGATACTTCTCCTGTAGAGGGACACTCCCGACTTAAGAAGCCTGCCTCAGAATTTGGAACGCGGCGCCGATCGATGTCCCCGGCGACCGCCGATCGATGTCGGGCGTCGGGCCCGTGCGGTCGTCCGCGGCCCGTGGCGCAGGGTCGGGTATAAGCCTAGACAGGCTCGCGCCGTGAACAAAAACAGGACGGGAGGTTTTCGCCCGATGTTGGCCCCTACAGTCAGTGGGCGAATCTGGGAAAGAGAATCTGCCGGTGAGCTGCTGGACACTGGCCCTTCTCTAAATTGGGGTCTGTAGGCCAACACCTTGCGCGGCTGGAGCGTCTTCCCTCGCAGCAAGGACTGGGACGCACTCGTCTTCTCGGCATGAGCTGCTACACACTCCCTTGTAAAATCTGAAGGCTGGAACCCACACCGTGGGCGGCTGGAACGCTTCCAATTGCAAAAACTGAAGGCTGGAGCGCACTCGCTTTTGTGGGCACGATCGGCTGGAACGCTTGCCTCCGCAAATCGGAGGTGAAGGGGCGAGATTGCCGCGGAACGGAGAGCCCCCCACCGGGAGATCGGCTTCGGCTTCGTGTTCGTGTCGCGCGTGCGGGCGAGGCGAAGATGCGTGGGCGCGCAGGCGGAACGATGCCGCCGTGGCCAGGGGCCGTGGAGCTGGCTGTCCGCCCCCCCGGGCCGCCGCGCGGTGGCCAAGGAGGCGCCCCTCTCAGGGGCACGTCGGTGTCCCGTCGGCTTGTGTCCCTTCGGTGGCGCAGCGGTGTCCCGTCGGTGGCGCGGCGGTGTCCCACCGGTGGCGGTGGGTGTCCCGTGGGTGGCGCGGCGATGATATCGATTGTGAAATCGATGGTAAGATATGCGGAGGGATCCATGATGAGATCTGTTGCGAGGTCTGTGGTGAGATCTGTTGTAAAATCGATGGTGGGATCTGATGTGGGACTGATGGACAGATCGCTCGTGAGATCTGCAGTGGGGTCGACAGTGAGATCGATACCGAGATCGATCGTGAGATCGACTGTGAGATCGATTGCGAGGCCGATAGCGAAATCGATGGTAAGATCGATTGTGAGATCGGTAGTGAGGACGAGTGTGAGAACGAATGTGAAATCGATCGTGTGTCCAGATGTGGGACAGATAGTGAGCTTGACTGTCAGATCGATGATGAGATCGATTGGGAGATCGATCTGCTGTGACATCGATCGTGAGATCACTTGTGGTATCGATAGCGGGCCCGACTGTCCAGACGAAAGTGAGATCGATTGCAAGATCGATAGTGAGATTTAATTCGAGATCGATAGTGAGATCAATAGTGAGATCGGCGGCGAGATCGAAAGTTGGACCAATGTTTAAAATGTTGACATCTGTTGTCAGATCGACAGCAAAATCTGTTGTGAGATCGATGGTCAGATCGCTCGTGAGATCTATGGTGGGAGATCGAAAGTGAGATCAACACTGAGAACGCTTGCGGCATCAATTCTTACATCGATTGTGCGACCAATAGTGAGATTGATGGGGAGATCGACTGTGAGATCGATGGTGAGCCCGAGAATGAGAAATGTTGTGAGATCGCTAATGGGCCGGATGTGAGACCAATGATTAGCACGATTCTCAGATCGATGGTGAGATCGATTGGGAGATCGGTGGTGAGATCTCTTGTGAAATCGACCGTGAGATCGCCTGTGAGATCGATAGTGGGGTCGATGGTCGGATCGATAGTGAGATCGATTGTGATATCGATAATGAGATCTGGTGCGAGTTCGATCGTAAGACCGTTTCTGAGATCGAAAGTGAGGTCTCTCGTGAGACCGGGAGTTGGATCGATGCGACATCGATTTGACGAGACGTTGGTTCCCCCTTCCCCCCCGAACCTCCAAATTAACTGAAGGGTGGTCGTGAAGGTGATCCATGGCAGGACCCGAACTCCCTCCAGGGCTTCGTCAGTCTGAAAAAGGTTAAAGTGGCCCTGGGACGCACACACACACAAAAAACACACACAAATAACAGGATCCCCATATTTTCCCATCTTTCCTTGGGTCGGTCCAGCCGTCGGCAGCTGGTCGGTCGGTGCGCTCGCCATCGCTCGGACGTCCATTCCCCGTGTTTTTTTCGCCGAGAAAAAATGCACACGTCCGAGCGATGCCAAGTGCGTCGGTGCGTCGATCCTCGTCGTCTCGGTCGTTCCATCGGCCGGTAGACTGGACGGACGGTCGGTCGTCAAAGGTCGTGGTCGTCGTCGTCCTCGTCGTCGGTCGTCGGTCGGTCGCTCGAAACGTCGGCCCGTCGGTCGATCGGTTGTCGTCGGTCTATGGGCCAGTCGGATATCGTCGTCGGTCGGCATCGTTACACTTTTGCCTTCATTGTGGCTCGCTCTTGGCGCCCTGGTGGCCCCCAAACACGCCCGATGAGGCATGCAATTCACCATTCCACGACCAACAATAGTCCACTGACTGCAGGGGCCTTCGCCAGGCCCTGGGACCGCCAACAGAACGACTCGGACAGCAAAGCCGGTCCCGAGGAAGGGGTCAGGACCTCCAGGAAGCCCGGACGGAAAAAATATGATGTCGCATGTCACGGAGGCCCTTCCTAGGCGCGGTGCCGATCGTGGTGCTGGTGGAGGTGGAGGTGGAGGTAGTGGAGGTGGAGGTAGTGGAGGTGGTCAGCGTGCTCGACGTGGTGGTGGTGGTGGTGCTGGCAGAGGAAGAGAAAGCGGCACAAGCACAAACTTCCGGAGGTCCGCGCAGGTTCTCGGAGCCGCGCTGGACCCCCTTCCCCAGAGCGCGGAGCGCGACAGGGGCGGCGCCGGAGGCGCCGCCAGAGGGGTCTAGCGCAAATCTAAGAAATCCGCGCCGACCTCTCAAAGTGCATGTTATGTCGTTGTTTCTTCTTCGAGCTGGTAGAGGTGGTCAACGTGCTCGATGTTGTGCTGGTCGTCGTCGTGGTCCTGCTTGTGGAAGACGTCGAGGTCTCTGTCGCCGACGCGGTGGTTACCGACGTGGTTGTCGACGTAATCGTGAGCGTGACGCTGTCAAGCATGGGCGTGCTGATGCTTTCCACCGTCAGGGTGTAGATCGCGCCCTGGCTGTGGAGACTGGTCTGGGTCAATGCCTGCATGGTCGATGCTGCGTCTGAGGCTGTCAGCTCAGAGACGATGGCCGCGTTGAGCTCGCCAGTGGTGCCCAGTCCACCAACGGTCGTAATGCTGTAGCTCACCAGCACGGCGCTGGTCGAAGACATCGCTCTGGCGAGCGTGTCCTGCCATACTGACCGATCAGGGCCTCCACGTTGAACAGCCGCCCTGTACCTCGGCGGCGCTGCGAGGCGCCTTCCGAAGCTCAGGGTGACGAATACCTGGCTCGTCGCCACGCCCACCAGGCTGGCGATGCCGTCCGTCACAGCCGCCGCGGCGGTTGCATCGCTCACGAAGGCTGAAGGGTCAGAGACAACCAGCTCCATCGTCCCACTGATCGTATTGACGACCTGCACTGTTGTTGTGGAGATGGTGCTAGAGCTGGTATCCGATGTGGTGGAGAGCGTGGTACTGGACACACTGGAAGTACTGGACGGCGTGGAAGAAGATATCGTGGAGGTAGAAGAGAGCGTCGAGGTGCTGGAGAGCGTTGGGGTGCTGACGGTGGTGCCGGTGACCGTTGAGCTAGAGCTAGAACCAGTCGTGATGCTCGAGCTCGTGCTGGTGCTGCTCGACTGTGTGGATGTGCTGAGAGTGGTAGAACTGCTCAAAGTGGTGCTGGTCAGAGTCATGCTCGAACTCGTCGTCCAGGTAACTGTTTCACTGCTACTGCCTGTCGAGCTACTCAGCGTGCCGCTGCTGGTTTCGCTCGTAGAAGTCAACGAAATACTGACGCTCTGCGTAATGCTGCTCAACGACGTAGTGCTCGTCCGGCTGCTGGTCTCGCTCGTGGACGTCAGGCTGATGCTGCTGCTACTCTGCGTGATTGTGCTCAGTGATGTTGCACTGGTCCACGTCATTGTGCTCAACGTGCTGCTAGTCAATGTCGCACTGATCAAAGAAGTGGAACTGGTGGCACTGCTCGTCTCACTCGTGGACGTCAGGCTGCTGCTACTAGTCCGCGTCGCGGTGCTCAATGACGTACTGCTGGTCCACGTCATTGTGCTCAACGTGCTGCTAGTCCATGTCGCACTGATCAAAGAAGTGGAACTGGTGGCACTGCTCGTCTCACTCGTGGACGTCAGACTGCTGCTACTAGTCTGTGTCGCGGTGCTCAATGACGTACTGCTGGTCCACGTCATTGTGCTCAACGTGCTGCTTGTCAGAGACTTGGAGCTGGTGGCACTGCTCGTCTCACTCGTGGACGTCAGGCTGCTGCTACTACTCTGCGTCGCGGTGCTCAATGACGTACTGCTGGTCCACGTCATTGTGCTCAACGTGCTGCTGGTCCATGTCGCACTGGTCGAAGTGGAACTGGTGGCACTGTTCGTCTCACTCGTGGACGTCAGGCTGCTGCTACTAGTCTGCGTCGCGGTGCTCAATGACGTACTGCTGGTCCACGTCATTGTGCTCAACGTGCTGCTGGTCAAAGAAACGGAACTGGTGGCACTGTTCGTCTCACTCGTGGACGTCAGGCTGCTGCTACTAGTCTGCGTCGCGGTGCTCAATGACGTACTGCTGGTCCACGTCATTGTGCTCAACGTGCTGCTGGTCAAAGAAACGGAACTGGTGGCACTGTTCGTCTCACTCGTGGACGTCAGGCTGCTGCTACTAGTCTGCGTCGCGGTGCTCAATGACGTACTGCTGGTCCACGTCATTGTGCTCAACGTGCTGCTGGTCACTGAAACGGAACTGGTGGCACTGTTCGTCTCACTCGTGGACGTCAGGCTGCTGCTACTACTCTGCGTCGCGGTGCTCAATGACGTACTGCTGGTCCACGTCATTGTGCTCAACGTGCTGCTGGTCACTGAAACGGAACTGGTGGCACTGTTCGTCTCACTCGTGGACGTCAGGCTGCTGCTACTACTCTGCGTCGCGGTGCTCAATGACGTACTGCTGGTCCACGTCATTGTGCTCAACGTGCTGCTGGTCCATGTCGCACTGGTCAGGGAAGTGGAACTGGTAGTACTGCTCGTCGCACTCGTGGACGTCAGGGTGCTGCTGCTACTCTGCGTGATTGTGCTCAATGACGTACTGCTGGTCCACGTCAGTGTGCTCAACGTGCTGCTGGTCAGAGACTTGGAGCTGGTGGCAGTGCTCGTCTCACTCGCGGACGTCAGGCTGCCGGTACTACTCTGAGTCGCGGTGCTCAATGATCTACTGCTGGTCCACGTCATTGTGCTCGGAGTGCTGCTGGTCAAAGAAAAGGAGCTGGTTGCACTGCTCGTCTCAGTCGTGGGCGTCATGCTGCTGTTACTACTCTGCGTCGCGGTACTCAATGATGCAATGCTGGTCGACGTCATTGTCGTCGTGCTGCTGCTTCCTGTCGGGCTGGTCGCCGACGCGCTGCTGGTCTGCGTCGTGCTGGTCAAGCTCGTGGTGGTGCTACTGGAAGAAGTCGCAAATGACGTCGTGTACAAAGAGGAAGTCGTAACGGTCGCACTGTTCGTCTCACTCGTGGACGTCTGGCTGCTGCTACTACTCTGCGTCGCGGTGCTCAATGACGTACTGCTGGTCCACGTCATTGTGCTCAACGTGCTGCTGGTCAATGTCGCACTGGTCGGAGTGGAACTGGTCGCACTGTTCGTCTCACTCGTGGACGTCTGGCTGCTGCTACTACTCTGCGTCGCGGTGCTCAATGACGTACTGCTGGTCCACGTCATTGTGCTCAACGTGCTGCTGGTCAATGTCGCACTGGTCGGAGTGGAACTGGTCGCACTGTTCGTCTCACTCGTGGACGTCTGGCTGCTGCTACTACTCTGCGTCGCGGTGCTCAATGACGTACTGCTGGTCCACGTCATTGTGCTCAACGTGCTGCTGGTCGAAGAAGTGGCACTGGTGGCGTTGTTCGTCTCACTCGTGGACGTCCGGCTGCTGCTACTACTCTGCGTCGCGGTGCTCAATGACGCAGTGCTGGTCGACGTCATTGTCGTCGTGCTGCTGCTTCCTGTCGAGCTGGTCGCCGACGCGCTGCTGGTCTGCGTCGTGCTGAGCAAGCTCGTGGTGGTACTACTGGAAGAAGTCGCAAATGACGTCGTGTAAAAAGAAGAAGTCGTGACGGTCGTGGTGCGCGAAGAGGTGCTAGTCTCGGTGGTGCTGCGGCATTTGCGGGTGAGGACTGCGGCTCTCATAGACACATGGTTATACGAAGTCAGCGCGAAGATACGGACATAACGTGCCAGTTCCGTGGACTGAAACAAAGAATACAACTTCGTATCCTCATCCGAGTTTCCCGTGAAGTTCCCGTCAACAGCAGACCAGGAGATGCCGTCTAGCGAAACAGCCACTTCGAAGCTGGTTACCCATTGGCAACAAAAAGCTGAGTTTCGACCTTGGGTCACAACGCCTTCGACCTCGGCTACCATCCCAAGGTCCATCTGCATCCAGTCCCCAAAACTGTTGTGTAGAGAGCTCCAGGCCTGTGGCGAATCGACCATTGACTGGGCGTAAGTGTCACCAGGTGATTGGCTGTGCCAAATGCTACTATAGCTTCGATCGAGCTCTGGAACATTGACTTCCTCAGAGCTGCACGTCGAGTCGTATGAACACGCTGTGCTTGTCCAAACATGCATTACATCGTATTTGCATCCCGTTAGCCCTGTGATCCCTGAAAGAATTTCAGATGCTGTGCAGAGCCGCCCACCTACAAACGTTTCCTCGCACAACGATGCACACTCCTTGAATGTGTACGCTTGGCAATCATAGTCGCATATGGAACTCACGTTGCCACCGCAACAACGGCATCCCGCCGCCTTCACGGCAATTGGGCTGCACATCTTATACGAATCCGTGTTGCTCGTTGTTAAATCTGGCCCCCACGTGTACGCACCACACAAACTACTATTCACCCCTACATCCCCATCGACGATCAATGCAGAATCTGGGATGGTCATTGTGGCGGTTGTGGTTGTTGTGGCGGTTGCTGAGCTCGTGGTCGTCTGGGAGCGTTGCTTTTTTTTACAAGGGCAGTAGCAAGACATCTATGCCTGGTTCCTGCCGTGTCAACGGGGACTTTGATTGCTGACATCCCTCATCGAAATCCACTGTCCGACATCGAAGATCCTTCAAGGCAGGCTCGATTGATGCCGCTGGTGGCTCGATTGATGCCACTGGTCCGCCAGCGCTGGCGTCGCCGCCGCGTCGACGCGGCGCGGACCTGCCGTAAAACCCTGGAGGCACGACACACTTGAAAACTTGAAGAGCACAGGCGGAGGTTCCCGTCGCCTGACCAGGGTCCTCCGCACCAGCCTGAACGCAACCTGGCCTCCGTTGTACACATCTACCCGGACCGTGTCGAGAACTCCAAGGGACCTTTCCGAACGGCCCTGGACCTTGAAAATGATCTTGCCAAGGCTCCGCGATCGTGCAATGACCTCGTGGAGCCACCTGCGGAGCATCACCTATCATACCTGGTGCCAGCCATACACAATCATCTGCCAAAACCTCGCAGACGCTTCAAGTCCCCTGGAAAAGGCCAAGATGTCAACCACAATGCTGCAAGAACCTTGCAAGTCGAACTGGCGCGATCTGTGCAAAGTAAGACGACGCAACGAAAAGCAAGCATACCAAAGCACAACAACGCAATCCCGTGCAGTACGAAGCAGTTCAAGCAAATCGAGTCAGCCAACTAGTGAGTGCAATGCGGACGTATGGCAAGTACAACTATGCAATGCACAGCAATGCATGCAACACAATGGAACACAGCAACATTCAATGCCAAGCACCGCACAGGAATGGAAACCCGACGACCTTCCGGAGTATGGAAGCCGCTGGTGTCGTCGTCGTCGTCGTCGCCACCGGTCCCACGGAAACCCAGGAACAAGGAAAAGGAACGTCGTAGCTAAGTCGACAGTAAGCACCTTTCTTTACTCCCTACTTCCCAGCCGGAGGGGGGGGGGGGAAAGCGGGCGTTCTCTTATTCATTGTTCTGCCGATCGGTGGCGCCGGCCCTCGCACCCCCTCCTCCCCCCCCTCATGGAGTGGATCTTGGCTGTTTTGGGGCGCCTGTTTCGAGCAGGTGGAGTCTCCCTCGTAGGACGCACGGCTCCAAACAGTCGCACTGAGCAGAGGTCCAGGGCCAGAACCCCCCCCCCCTCCGCCCCCCCTTCCGCCCAATGTCGAAGCGCCGAATAAAAAAAACGTTCACGAATGGGGGTGGGGGAGGGGTGGTCCCGGGTCAGAATACAACCCTCCCTGGGCTCTGGCGGGTCCCAGGGGGGGTCGCCAGCGCCAGCTGGGTCCAGGGAAATACCCGCCTTCAGGGTCGGTGGCACCAGCCGTAAGGCCTTCGCAATACATGCACACCAATCAAATCCATGTGTTGCGCAGCAGTGCGACGCAAAGCAAAATAATATGCTTCGAGTAATGTTAGCCAGCGCGGGCCACAAACAGTGCGCCATTGCAGTGGGGGTGTAAGCTACGTTGTGTAAGCTATGTGGTGAAAAGGTATGCGTTGTAAGCTATGAGTTGAAAGCTGTGTCGTGTATGTGTTTCGGCGTGACTTGTGGAGGCCATATTTAGGCAAGCTATGCTGTGTGAACTGCAGGTTGAAGCTATGGGGTGTGATATCTTGGATGTAAGCTATGTTGTGAAATCAAGCTATGCTGTGCAGGCCATGTGGTGTAAGCGATTTGATGTAAAGTGTGAAAGCTGTCATGTTAACACATGGCGCCCGCGAGGCGCCTACGAGGCGGCACGGGCGGCAAAGTGGCACAAGCCCAACATGCCCACCAAGCGCAGGGCGCCCACGAGGCGCCCACGAGGCGGCACGGGCCAGCAATGTGGCGAAACTGTACCCAACATCTTACTTCATACAGCCAGGTGCGAACCCCTAAGTCAAAGCACTGGTCGGAGGAAGGTCGTCTGAAGCGAAATATCGCAACATACTAAAAACCATGACGCCAACAACTTTAAAGTGCGACGCGAATCACAACACTGCAAAGCAATCCAGCGTACCGCAAATTAATGCAACCAACGGGTTTACTCAAGAAGGACAATACATATTAGACAACTTAGGCGACAAACAGTCTGTGATTGCGCTGTCGAGGTGAACGCTATGCAGTACCAGGTATGTGGTGAAATGCTATGCCACGTAAGCGAGGTGCTGAGGAGCTCTGGAAATGCATACTTTGCAACCTATGTGGAATCAACTATGGCGTGAAAACTACGCGGTATGAACTGGAGATGAAATCAATAGGGTTCAAGCTGTGCAGTGTACGCTATGCGTAGGCTAAGTGCTGTGAGCTACGTAGGGGAATCTCTGTCGAAAACAGTGCATCGCGTGAACCCAGCCAGAGCATGGGACGCCAACGGGGCGGCACGAAGCGGCACGGGCGGCGGCGCGGAGCGGCACAAGCCTCGGGAAGCCCACCGAATCGCGGGGCGCCCACGAGGCGCCCACGAGGCAGCAACGTGGCGAAAACACGGCACGCCCACCCAGCAAACGGGGCGCCCACAGGGCGGCCGCGGGCGGCCGCGCGGCGCCACGGCGGGAAGCCCAACCGACGCACGGGGGCGCCCACGGGGCACCCTACGAGGGCTCAGCAACGAGGCGGCACGAGGCCCGCCACGAGGCGAAGAGTGGGGAGACACAGCCATCGCCGCGCGCGAGTAGGAATCCCGAGCGAGCACCGTCATGGGAAACCGCAACCAATGCAGGGCAGCGCAGGACAGTGCAGCTGCAGTCGAAACCTGCGACAAAGACTCATGCACGTCCAAAGGAACCCAGGACAGCCCACAGCGAATAGTGGCACCGCGCGAAAATACCTCCGACAGGCTCAAGACAGCAACTCTGCAGCGCAAAACAAACAATGGCAACCACCGGCACTACATCACACACAGAGCAGTCCGATGTAAACCAAGCCAACGCAACAAAAAAGTATGAGACGCGACGCACACCAGAGACAAGCCATGCGAAACAGTTGTAAGCAATGCGAGCCAGCAGGAAGAAACGAAACGCATGACATACCAACACCACACAACCATGTAACACAACGGAAAGAAATTCAATGGCAATGCGATCAGGACCACCGCAACACGAATCACCAATTCAGCGCGGGGAAAACAGCACAAGTTCCGCCAAATATTGCCAAGGAAACAGTCATGCTAGGCAGTATCGCCAATGGCCCTGCTGAACAGCACGCTAAAGTAGGACTGAACGTGGGAGAAATGTCACGAACAAAGATCTCGCAACAGGGCTGTACCTAAACGTTGTTGTTCGTTTTGTTTTCGTTTTGTGGTTCGTTTTGCTCTACCTGTTTTCCTGTACCTCCCTGTCAAGACGAAGTACAAAACACAGCCGAAGTCCAGCAAAACAGAGTGTAGATCCAGCCCTGATGTCATGAACGAGGATCTCGCATCACTTTCAAAGACTCGGATGGGGACCGACCACGACATATGTCCCTAAAACAACATAGTTGATATTCCCAAAACAAACAATGCGCTCCCACATAACAGTAGAGCGACGTGTTGAAATAAAACTGCCCCAGCCAGGCATGCAATAAAAACATGTCGTTCAAATACATAGAATTCTTAATTTTCTTATACCACTCTTCGGTGGGCCTATAGGCATGTCAGGACTCTTCACCACTGCTACACATAACTTAAGTGGTCCATGTCATATTTTGAGTCCTGGGTGTCCAGCTTCTTCGCAATACCCCGCAAAGCCTCCACGAGATATTCTGCAGGTCTTCAGGAGGCTTCGCGGAAGTCTTCGAAGGTCTCCCAGAGGCCTCTGCGCTGGCGCTCCCTGGTGGGGGTCGCCGTCATCGCCGCCGCCGTCTTCGCCGTCGCCGATCCGCCGTCGCTGTCGCCGTCGCCGTTGCCGTCGTCGTCGTCATCGTCGTCGTCGCCGGTCGGCTTTCGGAAGTAGTTGACGTTCCTTGAGGTAGTCGGCACCAGGAGCGTTTTGCACCGGCTGCGCCTCGTCGAGAGCCTTCGTGGGAGCCTGGAACAATCCTGAACGCCTACTTGGGGCCCAAGTTATGGCCAGAGCGCCTAACAAAGGGTCGTCGTCGTCGCCGACTTATGCCGGCGGATGAGACTGATTGGACTAAATTCGTTGGAACATCGAGGCGGCCAATTCGACTAGATTGGCTGGCATGGCTGCTACGATCGTGTCCAATCAACGCGTTTCTCGATTACCCTCGGGGGTTTTCCGCGGCCCCTTGGAAAACGACTTTTTGGGATTCAGTGGAATCCTCCTAGGCATCCTTCGGGGGGAGGCACATTTGACTTTCATGTCGTAGACGATCGCATGAATCTTAGAATTCCTTCGGACCAGCTCGACGGGTCTTCGGACCACCTAGAAGCGTCAGGGCCATCCTGGACTTGTCTTGGGCGGGCTGTCGTGGGGGAGCATTGGGCCGCATCGGGGGTGGGGAGGGCGGGCGTCTTGGGGCCCTCGTCAAGGCCGCTTGCTGCTGGCAATCCCGAGCTGCTGCCTGTTGTATGCGCTGAGGTGGCGCACTACCCCGAAGTGGGGACGTAGCCGGCCAGCACTGACTGGCCGGCACTGACTGGCGGGGTAATAGGCAAAGGATGATGTGTCTACGAGTTGGTGCCTGGACTTGAGCGAATCGGGAGATAGCCGAAAACTAATATTTCTACTAGCTTGGTGCCCAGGTACGCAATTTGGGGATCGACGCCATGCTCTTCAGAAAACAAGAGCCCCCGCCATCTGCCGAAAGGCGTACGAGTGGGGCCTCCAGCCCGCTTCGTCTTCACAGCGGCGCGCCCTCTCAGACGGAAGTCCCAGCGAGGATACTCAAACGAATATTTACTCGAACTCGCCATTTCGTTCCCACCCGCTACGATCCTGTAACACCTTGACGTAGCATTTGGCGTCAAGCCACTGGGTACCGTTGGAGCCCTGCGTTGCTGGCGTGTTCGATAAGATATGGTAGCAGTAAGCACCATCCCAACCATCAGAGTACCACTCCACCGCAGAACAATCCACATCGTCTGAACAGGATTGCTGGCAACGCGTCAGGTTTGTCTCGAAAGCAATGGGGGTGTGAGCTAAATCGATTTGGTTCACATCCACGCAGAAATTGCTGTACTCAACGTACACGGTCGCCGGGTACGCCTCACCCTCATACTATTCCTCGTCCTCCCCCGTCCTCTTACACCTAGTATGTGCATCCCTCCTGCGAGTCCTCATCCGCCTCCTTCTTTGCTTGCTCAAATCCCTCCCCCGCATCGTTTGCATTCTTCTCCTCATTGTATTCACCATGATACTGATCACTTCCCCCTCCAACTGCTCCGTGCCCATCATCACATAATTATCATCAGAATCCCTCGCTTGCTCTTCATGTTTCCATTACATCCACCTTATTTGTTATATCCTGATGCTCTCTTGGCGACGGTAAACTGCCGCCCCCTCCGTGCCCCACATGGCACCCTCCGTCGTACCAACGCGGATCGGGCAAGAGACAATGCCGTATGCAACACCCGTGGCGAAAAGCACCCCGACGACCATGATCAGGGCACGGAACATGGAAGCAGCCGTGGCCAGCCAACAATACTATGACGCGTACAAGCCATGTCCGCGCCGAGGTCGCGGAATCCCAGACAATCTCGCGGAGCCAGGAAGCCACGGGCAGCCAATGGAGCCTCAGCGTTCAGAAGAACAGCTCGGTGCGCATCCTCGGCCCGACCCAAGACCTACGCTTGGCGGCCCCAGCGCAGGTAGAGAGAGAGAGAGAGAGAGAGACAGAAAGAGAGAGAGAGAGAGAGATAATGAGGGAGAAAGAGGAGAGGCGTGTACCCCGATGGGCACGCGCAGCAGCCCGCCACCCAAGATATCGAGGATACAGCGGCCGCCGCGGAAGACTAGATGGCTTCAAGACAAACGGTGTTATGCACAACCCTGGGTGCAGAGCCTGTGGATGACATCAAATGGGAGAGCGCGTTTCGTGGACGCCTTCGTTGAGAAAACCCCCTGGGCACGTCGGAAAGGGGCCCCACCCCTAAACACTCGAGGCGCCTGGGGATACGGGAGGGGGGAGGGCATTCAAGGGGAGGGGTGGGCTCGAACCAGGGGGGGGAAAGGGGCACTCCCCCCGTCCAGGAGAGGCTGGGGTGGGTTCAGACCGAAGGGGGTGGTGGGGGGGCCTCCCCCACAATAGAACCGTATGACTGCTGATCCAAGCTCTAACTTTATGTCGGGCCTGTCCCCCGACAGGGGGATGTTCGACGAAGAATTACGCTACCGAGGAAACCCACATACTTATTTTATGTCACGTGCGTTCACAAACCATGTCACATCTCGCTTCGCCATCCTGACGAGAGACTGACCAGACCAGCCAGATCAGCCAGACCAGCCAGACTGACCAGACCGGCCAGATCATTCGTTCCAGCCATAACCAGCCAAAGCAATCAGACCAGCCAGCCAGGCCAATCAAGCAGACCAGCCAGACCAACCATATTGGTCATGCCAACAAACGCAGCCAGAATCAGCCGGACTGATCACACACGAGCCAACCAGGCCAACCAACCTGGACCATCCGGTTCAGGAGAATGGTGCACGGAGGTGGCAATTCGGCCACTGCACATTTTGGGGGCATGCCTGTGGGCGCCTGCTGTCTTTGAGCCTGCTTGAGCCGAGGTGTCTACAGTTAACCTTGCTGAGAATACTTCTGCCGCATACACGCCTGAGGCACCGGTGCATACTGCCCAAGATATAGATTCCAGAACATGTCAAGGCTGCTACGCTACCTACGTACCCTCTCTGCTTTCAAGCCCCCTGTGGCGTCAGCAGCCCTCGAAAGTGGCGACGGTTTCGCAGATCGCAGCCCCCGCAGGTCGCAGCCCCCCAGGGACGGCAACCACAGGGGGGGCGGGAGAAGGACGCGACCACACCCCTCTATTCAAAACGAATACCCAACCAAGGAGGGTTGGGAAAAAAATACCCTGGCGACGTACCCAACCCCTGCGCAATGCGGGGCATGAGTAGCTTGGGAGTCGTTATACGGAGGTGATGACGTGACATGGGCGCATATACTTCTGCGAGCGGCATTCGTGAGGCTCGCAGCCCCCCATGGATTGCCAGGTCCCGCTCAGATCTGCCTGGTGCCTCGCCCCGCTGTACCCACCAGCAGCCCTCGAAAGTGGCGACAGTTTTGCAGATCGCAGCCCCCCAGGGACGGCGAGGTCCCGCTCAGGTCCGCGCGGCGCTTTACTCCGCAGGACCCCCCAGCAGCCCTCGAAAGTGGCGACGGTTTCGCAGATCGCAGCCCCCCAGGGACGGCGAGGTCCCGTTTGGGTCCGCGGTGAGCACCCTCTCTGCTGGCCTCCCCACCAGCCCTCGACAGTGGCGACGGTTTCGCAGATCGCAGCCTCCCAGTGACGGCGAGCTGGCCTCCCCAGCAGCCCTCGAAAGTGGCGACAGTTTCGCAGATCGCAGCCCCCCAGGGACGGCGAGGTCCCGTTTGGGTCCGCGGTGAGCACCCTCTCTGCTGGCCTCCCCAGCAGCCCTCGAAAGTGGCGACGGTTTCGCAGATCGCAGCCCCCCAGGGACGGCGAGGTCGCGTTTGGGTCCGCGGTGAGTGCCCTCTCTGCTGACCTCCCCAGCAACCCTCGAAAGTGGCGACAGTTTCGCAGATCGCAGCCCCCCAGGGACGGCGAGGTCCCGTTTGGGTCCGCGGTGAGTACCCTGTCTTCTGGCCTCCTCAGCAACCCTCGAAAGTGGCAGCAGTTTTGCAGATCGCAGCCCACCAGGGACGGCGAGGTCTCGTTTGGGTCCGCGGTGAGCACCCTCCCTGCTGGCCTCCCCAGCAGCCCTCGACAGTGGCGACGGTTTCGCAGATCGCAGCCCCCCAGGGACGGCGAGGTCCCGTTTGGGTCCGCGGTGAGTACCCTGTCTTCTGGCCTCCCCAGCAGCCCTCGAAAGTGGCGACGGTTTCGCAGATCGCAGCCCCCCAGGGACGGCGAGGTCCCGCCCGTTTGGGTCCGCCGTGAGTGCCCTCTCCGCTGGCCTCCCCAGCAGCCCTCGAAAGTGGCGACGGTTTCGCAGATCGCAGCCCCCCAGGGACGGCGAGGTCCCGTTTGGGTCCACGGTGAGTACCCTCTCCGCTGGCCTCCCCAGCAGCCCTCGAAAGTGGCGACGGTTTCGCAGATCGCAGCCCCCCCAGGGACGGCGAGGTCCCGTTTGGGTCCGCGGTGAGTGCCCTCTCTGCTGGCCTCCCCAGCAGCCCTCGAAAGTGGCGACAGTTTTGCAGATCACCCCCCCCCCGGGACGGCGAGGTCCCGTTTGGGTCCGCGGTGAGTACCCTCTCTGCTGGCCTCCCCAGCAGCCCATCGAAAATGTCGACAAACTCACAGGTCGCAGCCCCCCAGGGACGGCGAGGTACCGTTTGGGTCCGCGGTGAATGCCCTCTCTGCTGGCCTCCCCAACAGCCCTCGAAAGTGGCGACGGTTTCGCATATCGCAGCCCCCGCAGGTCGCAGCCCCCCAGGGACGGCGACCACAGGGGGGGCGGCAGAAGGAGGACGCGACCACACCCCTCTATTCAAAACGAATACCCAACCAAGGAGGGTTGGGAATAAACGCCCGTGCTGTTCGCATTTATGCGGTCCGTCAATTATGTTTTGTTGTTGCTTCTCTCGAACAGCCCGTCAGATCTCTATTTCTCTGTCCTTCCCACCCCCCTTTGCATCCCAACGGTTTGCGCGAGGTAAGGGGAGAGTTTATTGCAAGTGTCCACAGCGCAACGCTGTCAGCGTCTCAGATCAGCGCAGGTTAAAGCTTGTCATATTTTTCCCAAATCAACGCCTGCACTGAATGGGTCCCAGCGGAGATTAATTTGACGAAACAAACCGGGCCGATTTCGGTGGGCGGTCGGGTTCTCGGGTTCCCGGTTCTGGGTTCCCGGGTTCCTGGTTCCGGTTCACGGCCTATTTTGGTGGGCAGCGGGATTTCCAGTTGCCCAAGTTCCTGGTTGATCTTCTGATCGATCGGTCTCGCCATCGATATCATTGCCCGCCTCTCTATGGATCCCGCAATCTATCTCACAAGCGACCTCGCTGTCGACCTCATAATCGATCTCACTGTAGATCGCGCGAGCGATCTCGCGATCGATCTCATGATCGGTCTCGCAGAACCGGCTCCCCCGATCGGTCTCACGATCGATCATGCAACCGTCCTTTCTATCGATTCCACGAGCGATCTCGCTGCAGATCCCACAATGGATCCTGATATCCATATAATCAATGTTCCATACAACCATTGGTTGGTTCGTTTTCCGAACGCAAAATACACCTAGTTCTGAAGAAAAGAGGACAAGCTCGAGACTCTGAATTTCAAAGCCCAAGCGCCTCTGCGTGAAAGAGCAACGATGGCGGCGCGTCATCATTCACCGTCCCAAGCAACCGCCCACGCAATCGCAGTCACCCCCGCGCATCATCCGCCACTGCCGCCATGGCCGCGGCCAAGCGCGATTGCCAGGCACTCGACGTTCGCCGCGCGGGGGCCGAAGTGCCGCTGAGGGGCCCACGATAGCGGCGCATCTTCACGCATCGTTCCACGTCATCGCGGTCGCCCCAACGCGTCATCCGCCACTGCCGCCATGGCCGCGGCCAGCCGACTTACCAGGCACTCGACGGTCGCCGCGCGGCGCCTGAAAGACCGCTACGCCATTGCAGAAGTTCGTCGCGTTTTACTGAGGCGTCAGGATGATGCAAGTTTCGTCCAGTACTTCCGCGCGGGCGGGCGGGCGAAGGCTGACCCCTGTCCCGACCGCGCCAAACTGCCCCCCGTTCCCCGCCTAGAAGGCTAGGAGCAAATATCCAGGACCTCTACACCTGAGATTTCCTTCCGTTATCCAAGTTATCCAATGCACTCTCCTACAAGAACGTATGTTTACTCCCGAAGTAACCCGCGAGCTGGATTTCGCCCTGCCAATGCAGGACGATCTGATCTCAGTCCATGACGAAACTAATGCAGAGCCGATGCATGGGGTCGCGTAAGGCGGGCGCTCCGCCTGCGAGTGAGATGGGAGGAAATCTCAGGCTGGGGCCTTCGGGTCGATTCCACGAGCGATCTCACCGTCGATCCCGCAATGACTCCGATTATCCATACCACAAATAT